TGGCCAACCGATGTACAAGTCAGTGCTTTTATGCTTCCAGACGAGTCTGGTACTAATTAACCGACCCCGGTACATGGAAGGCTTGGTTGGCCTAGGCAGGTATCGATTCTGGATTCGAACCCGTGACCTGTGCGAGTATGAAATGCGCCACTTGCCACTACACCATCTCCGCCCGATTTTAATAATAATAACATTTTTAATAGGTAATAGCATTGAAATATGCTATGTCATTATAATTTTAATTTAATGATACCGATCAACACAGAATTGAATTGCTTGATCAGATAGTCATAACTTGCCTTATTTCGCACTTAGGCAATCAAGTTTGTAGGGGGTAGAAGGGGTAGGGTGAAAATTCCGTCACAATGATATCAATTCATACTGACAGGACACACCACAGCACTTTGATATCAATCGATACTAATAATCACCAATGACCTTTTGCTGTTCGTATGTGACTATGAACTGTGGGTTGTGTAGGAACATTAAGATAAGCATGCAATTCGTGATAACGACTATATCAAACGCATAAGGAGATATTGAACGGCCACATTCATCATTGTTCTCAGCCCATGCTTCATAACGGATTTCTCCCGTCTGGGCGAAACCCCAAATAAGACTGGTTGTGTGGTTCCAACTTACAATTAAGGAACATGAAATTCTGTCGGTAGGATAAACAGAGCGGGAAAGCATTTCCTCTTGCTGGTGAAGGCACCACTGCGATTGAATTTTTCTAAATTTAACGGCCTGCACTACCACTGAATGCAAGTCATATTCCCTTTAACTCATTGCAGATAAAAGTCCCAACCTCTCACTACGGGCTCCGCCCACCTCCCGAACTCCTCCCGACCACTGTACCTTCGCCCTGAACCAATAACAACGGATTGGAGAATACGGAACGAAGAATCACCTTCTGTTCTCAGGACACAAACAACGGGTGGAGGGTGGAGGCACACTGTTTCTACAATATCAAGGAAATCCCCGAGAGTACAGAGACAAGTTGAAGGGCATTAATTTGAAAATTTGAGCATTTTTGCTGATCGCCATGATGCTTTCATAAACAACTAGCTATATAAGTAAAAGAGAGGATTATGACAGATGAAGAGAGTTATCTACAAGAAGAAAAGTAGACAAATTAGCTTTGAAATCGTACCTTTTCTGTGAAATCCTCGACAGTCTCAACATCAAAAATGGCGTTTGTTGAACAAAAACGTCGAGGTTGAACCATTCTCGGCAGCAATAACGATCGTTGTGCCATTGAAGGTCGAAACGCAAGTCGAGCCAATGTCCCTCCCAAACTTTGCATTTTGACCTCAACATGACCCCATTTATATCTAACCGATCATTAAATCAATTAAAATGTAAAAGCTGGTTTCAGAAAATGAAATAAATAAAAGTAGTAGAGAGTGTACTGCGTAGTAGACATAAAGTTATAAAAAATGGTCAAACAATGGTCCTCACCGAAGAGGTTCGCTTTGTAGCAGGATTTCTCCTTGGAGCACATTATTTTGTGATGTGGTTTTTTTCTGCTGTGGGGCTGCGTACATTCTAGGGAAAGTATTTCGTCTTTTTAAAGAGGATAGGAAATATTCGTCCCGTTACAGACTGACGATTAAATACTCGTTTACCTGGTCTATAAGTATAAATCACCTGGAAAAACCGGTGGTTACCGTCTGAGGTGAATACTTTAAATAGCCATAAAAGAGCAGGAACTTAGTGCTAACCTAATAGTTATAACATTATAGTTTGCTGGGTTTATTTCCCCATTTGAGATTCCCTCATAGAAATTCCCATATTATCCGACTACTATTAACCAGGTTTTCAGCCGGTCGTCGGAATGTATGAAGCTTACACCCCAAATGAAGTTGCCGTGAAATTGCCGCTGGAAATCACATCGCTCACATGTCAAAGTACGTGTTCAATTTCGAAATTCTTATCGCCTTCTTCTTTATCGAAGTATAAATGAATATGCTGGACTGTAAATGAAGCTCGGCGCTGGTAACCGTTGAGTTTGCGCCATGCACTTGTCCATTTTTTTATTTTAATGAATGTGCAGGCCTCACAGAAGTACATCGTCTCTGGGCTCAAAGTTGGTCTCTTTATACTCCTAAAGCAATAGAGGGAAGGGGAGAACTGGCTTGAGAACAATGAACTGTGATACCATGTAGAGGATCAGGGCATATACTAGCTTCTCTTATTTCTATGATTATTTGCGGGCTTTCAAAGCCAAGCATTAATACCCCAAGACCTATCATTACTATTACTTTTGAATGCTATGTGAAGGCTGCTTTCGCTTCACATCGGCTCTTTTTCTTTATTTTCTCAAAATTTTACTATTTCAAGAGTCATGTGGAAGCGTGTACGCAGGCAGCAAAGTCGGACAGCTTTTCGTTTATACTCCCAAGAGAACCAGTAAGTCAGTTAAACTCTTTCTTTCATGGTTTATATTTACGTTTTCATTTTCGAAGCCTCGCACGCACGTTTTTTAGGTCGGCGAGGATTTGATCTCGACACATTATGTAAGCAGTTTGAAAGAAAAGCAGTGATGGATTTATCGATCTGTGAAGAACAGGATTTGGTTTTCTGTGTGTCTGACGGGCAAATGGCTGCGCATTTTCTAAGTTTGTCATCGGTCGAGCGTCGCCTTATTTCTCTTCCATAAACTGACTAGTTACAGTTTTCAGAAGACCGTCATTTTCCCGTTGTATCAATACTTCATAAGATCAAGCCCGTAAATGGTTTTGCTACGTGGTTTCCAGAGGTAATTCTCGATTATTTCGAAGATTTCATATTCCTATGCTGTCCATTTATGATATGAGTTAATACCTGTATTCCTATGCTGTCCATTTATGATATGAGTTAATACCTGTACACAGCTTGCATCCACTGATTGCTTTTCTGCATGTCCTGACGAAGGTTAATCATTTTGAAGGCTCTTAGTAATACCAGTACTGAGGGCAAAAAGAATTAACGACATGCCGGCTCGAGTTCTTTAATTGTGATAGTAGTGAAGAATCGAAAAGCAACAGCCGAATTTCTTTAACACTTCAATACAACGTGTTCAACTTTATGTCAAGCACTTAAGGTTTTCTGGAAAGTTTCCGTTTGTGTGTGAACTGCAGCTTGGAAAAAAGATTTATCTCAAAGTTAATTTTCAGGATAGCGATACATTGCATATATTCGTTTCTTCGAAGAAGAGGTTGTTCTTGTTCAAGTGGTTCGACAAAGATTTTCATGATGTCCGTCTGGACTACAACCAATCCTTTGCAGATAAACCAAATACAATGAGGTGAATTTGAAAGTCCATTTTCTTTTTGAGAAATAAGAACTATTATTGCAGAGTAGTCGGTAGCACCCTGTTCATGAGCTGCGGTCGAGAATATATTCTCATGAAACTTACAAAGACCACCAACGAGGATGGAGAGGTGGCTGATTAGAAATGCTTTAATGTTTTTTTTTTTTCGTTGCAAGTATTACGCGCTGTATTTTCAGTCTTGGTTCGGCGATTGTCGACGTCTCTTCGATGTTAGCGATAATCCATCGATAATCCTAATAGGGGACCGCGATCTTTTAGGATTTTCGTATGGCGACACTCTCATTTTCACCAATTTCGAAGGACAAAAGACTCCGTTAGCCGATGTGCGCTTTAGTGACGTGCCTTGCGATATAGGTATGTCCTATCAAGACTACTCATGAATACCACATACTAAACAACTTTGTAACGCTTTCTGTGTTTACAATTTTGGAATAACTCAGGCAAGTACTTACAGTGTACGATGCGCCGTATGTAG